CACCTCCAGCCTGAGGAGGCGACTCCTGCTGGAACTGACCACATTAGAGACCTCACACCGATACTCCCCAGCATCTTGTTGCTTGACAGGGTCAATGGTGAGGATGCTGCTGTTCTGGGACAGCTTCATGCTCTCTGTGAGCTGCAGGTGCTGGTCATTGAAGATCCACTGGATGGAGATTCCAGTGTCACCTGGGAGGCAGGTCAGGACCACAGAATCCCCTTCTTCCACGGTGGTGTTGCTGATTAGGATGGAGGGTGGTGACACCAGCTCTATGGATAGAGGAGGGAACTGGCTGACTGTGGGGACCTGGGGCCCAGCTGTGCCCTTTCCTCAGATATTCAGCCAATTCTGGGCCACAGTGGGCTGTGTAAGGCTGCTCAGAGGACAGCCACAACCCTTAGCAGAGATTGCACACATTGGTTTGGGTGACAGTAAGGAGAGGGCTGCACCTCTCTCTCCACCCCATGCACCCAGGGGCCCTTAACGTTTTCTAGACCTCTCTGAAGAATCCACATGGCTGAAGGATCCTTAGCCTGATGCCCAGAAATCTCATTGTAAGGTAGAATAATTTATCCTACTGACATTAAAAAAAAATTGAAAGCAGGTGGTTGAGGCAGGGGAATCATTGTAATTTTGAGAGCACCCTGGGCCAAAAAGTGAGCTCAAGGCCAGCCGGAGCTGCATAATGAAACATTGTCACCAAAAGACAAAAGGGGAAAAAAAGAGAGAAAAATTAAGAAAGTAAAAGGAGAAACTTGTGAGGGTCAGAGAACTGGATGTGCAAAACAAGGCTGGGCTGAGGAAAAGACAAAAGCAAAAACAAACAAACAAAAAAGCTAAAAGGCCACTCTGGAGAGGGCAGCGTGGGTTATCGTGAGAAAAAGGCAGGACCGTGTCCCATTGACTTCTGCATGATGTCTTGCAGTGCTTTCTTTCTTTCTTTTTTTTTTTTAATTTTATTTATTTATTTATTTATGTGTGTGTGTGTGTGTGTGGCCAGCTCACCCACCAGGGGGCGGGGCTGGCTGGCATGTGGTGCTGGGGGATTGAACCGCGGTCCCTGTGCTTGCTAAGCTTGTTCTAAGTAGGTGCTTTAGACCACTGAGCCATCTCACCAGCCCTTGCAGTGCTTTCTTTGACAGGTAAAGTTGAGGTCCCTCTAGCCTAAAAAGCACGTCACTTTGGGGAGGACTTTTATTTCCTGGCCTGTGCATTACATACCACAGTGGAGGAAGGCAGCAGAGATAAGTGGTCACAGTGTTAGCGAAAGGCTGACCTCATTCCCTCTACAAATGCACCCCTTATGGCCCTGCCCTTCCCTCCTGCATGACTCCACAGTGAAGTCCCCAGGTCCCCAAGGTGCAATGCTCCCTTCTGTCCACAGTGCATCACCTGTGGTTGTTTCCTCAGCCTCTCACAACTGGGACTTCAAAGCAGGACACAGCTCAGGGGTATCTGCCCTGACCTGCACTGATTCATTCCTTGTACAGTGGGCGGGGAGGCTCAGATGCCCTCTGAGGATCCGATTGAGCAGACTGAGGACGGGCCTCCCAGACTCCTTTGCACCTGTCCTGTCCCAGCCCAGCTAGAGCCAGAGCAGAGCCAGGCACAGGGGGAGGCTAGAGCAGAGCTCAGAGCTGCTGAAGCCTATCCATGAGGGATTTCCTCCTCTCATTTGGAGAAAAAGAGCTCAAAGACAGTTCAAATCTCTAGGGGCTCACTCAGGAAGTAAAGAAAACATATGACAGAAGGAATGAGTGACAGAAAGAAGCTATTTGACCTCAAGGGCCCTCCCCCATCTGTGAATCTCCACCCGCTCCAAGGGGCTTTCTGGGATGAGAACCTGCTGTCTACATTCCAGGCTCAACTCCAGCCCAGCCAAGAGTAACCAGGGAAGCAAGGGGAGAGCAGTCTCAGGGAGCTGGCACAATGCTCGGGGCGGCTGGGGCCTCCCTTGTGTACACACATACTAGCTGGAGTCCACTTCTTTCCCACTATTTCCAGACCACCAAAGGATGACCCGAGAACTTGGTGCTGCTGGTCCAGGGTCCACTTACCAGGGACTATCGCAGTCTTCACTGTGCTCCTGCTGAGGCCCGTGGCAGAGTCATTAGCAAGGCAGGTGTAAGATCCACTATTATTTGCAGAGACGTTAGGGATGTGAAGCTTGTGAACCCCGCCTGGTCAGCTCAGGCCCTCCTTGGGGCCTGTACTACTCACTAGCACTATGGAAGGGAAGAGCCCCAGAGCAGGACACAGGAGAGTCTTATCCACAGATGGGGATGCTGCCTCATGACAGAGCCTTAGAGGGTGGGCTGCTCTTATTTCTGTGGCTTTTTGTACTGCTGGAGCATCCAGGAGGATGGGCTTTGCCCCACGTGTTAGTGAGAGGTAGCAGAACCATATGCCATCAGTGAGGGAGGAAAGCATGCAGAGCCCATGGGCGCTTGTGGCCTGAACTGATGGGGAGGAAGTCGAGGGCAGGGAAGAGGGAAAGAGCAGAAATAGCTGTTGCATAGAGCCACGCAGTGTCTGTGGTTTCAAAAACACCAGATATCAAGAGCTGCACGGCTGCCTCAGAAGCAAAGAGAACATTCTGTGAACACTTCCCCCAGACAAGCAGTCCTAGGGTAACTATATGAAGTGAATTCTGGGGTGGCCTTAGGAGCAGGTGAGTAAGGAAGACAACAAAGGTCTCAGTGCCTAAGAAGTTCTGGCTCCTACTGTGGCTACAACTTTCAAGGACGCTGTGTGGGTCTCCCAGTCTCTGAAGGGGTTGGGCCACTCCTTCCTTCACTGATTCACTCACTCACTGCTCATTCTTCCCTTCAGTCATCACAACGCTATTGAATTGGCCATAATTGGGCGGGCTGGTTTTATGGTCTAGTGGGGAGTGAGACAGCAAAGCCCTCTCTTATATTTCACCAAAGTGATCCTCAGCACACCAGGAAAGATAGGACACGAAGCCTAGTGAGGGAGGCTGTGGATCTGTTCCCCCAGGAGGGAGCCCCGGACATGGTGCTGAAGCAGCTGATTTAATTATAGAGGAAGAATTGACTACTTCTACATTTGGTCTTTCTGATCCAACCACACTCTCTGTCAGCTGGTAAGAACCAAGGTTAAAAAACATGCATCAATAACTGGCCTCTGGTTCACAGACATTCAACAATCTTCCCGGGTGGAGAGCACAGGGCTGAGTTTACAAAGCTATGCAATTCCTATGAGGCACACCGTGGGCTGTGTGACCCTGGTCCAGCAATTGCCTTTCTTTGTGCCTGAGTCTCCCTGTTATGGGATCCATGAGAAATGGAATCTCGTTTGCTAAGTTATTGGTAAATGAACCAGAGATGCTTGCAGTTACCTGCCTTTGCCATACTCCATGCCTAATCAGCAGTCTAATATTTGCCCCCAACACTGAATCACCTGGAAAGTCCAGGTGGACAGGGGACTTCCAGGAGTCTTTTTCTCCTCACTTGCCCTGGGTACACTGAGCTTCCTGTGGGGTCTCCTATGTCCCTGAGGCACCTGTCTCCTGTCTGCATAAGTCTGTCTGCCAAGTCTCAGGAGAAAGAACTCCCAGGTGCCCTAACCCCGATGTGGCCATTGGGGCTATGCTCTGGCGGGTGACCAGCATTAGGGACACTGAGGTTCAGCTAGCCACTAAATTATTGCTGCCCATCGTCCTTAACCGATGGATTAAACTGTAACCCTGAGAAGAAGCTCCCCATGACTACATGGAGTAAGGAGCTGAGGACAGAAGTCTGAGGCAGGGGCTCCAGGGCCTGAGATTCTCATCAGGACCCAAGAGTCTCTCACGCCAGGCCCTTTCTGGGTTCCTCAGAGGCACTCTTGGGGCTGTGTTCACAGCAAGGGACTTGGGGGAGGGCTGGAGAGGATCTCCCTGCATCACGTTACTCCACCCAACTCTCCTCCCCTGTGCTGGGCGGGTTCAGGTAGAGGACTCCAGGCTGCTGAAATTTGCTCTACTGCATGTGTCGTGTACTCCATGCGCAATGCGCAATTGTGGACAACTGAGGTGACAGCGTGGGGGTTGCCATCTAGGACGGACAGTTTTGTGTGAACATGAAGGTAAATTTACCCCAGTCCCCACCCAGAGGTCATGGAGAAGAACTCACGGTGCACCTGGAACTCTCCGGAAGCTTCGTCACTCAGATAATCCTGCTTTATGATGTGTAGGGTGTAGACTCCTGAGTCCTGTAAGGTGAGGTTCTTGAACAGCAGGGATCCGTTGGAGTATATTGTCTCTCGGTCACTGTATGCAGGCCCGTGAGTGGTTGTGCTCCCGGGTACCAGATATGCTGCAATCTCTTTGGTGGAATCAAACCTGTCGCCTTTAAACCACTTATAGACTAAATTGTTCTCTGACAAATTGTGGGCAAGTAGAAGAACATCTCCCCCTTCAGCAGCGTGAAAAGGCACAGGTTCAATGGTAACCTGAGCAGTGGCGGGTGGGGTCCAGGAGGTTAAAAGTAAGGCTGGGAGGGAGAGAGGGAGAAATTCATTAATGCTGGAAAAAAGGAGAAAATTTATTGGATGGCCATGTTTTCCTTGCTTAGTGTTAATAGTGTGTGTGTGTGTGTGTGTGTGTGTGTGTGTGTTACTGTGCTGAGCTCAGCAGCAGCACCTCATTCCTTCATGGCCCCTGGACGTGTCGTTCCCTGTTTGGAGCCCTCTTCCTGGATGTCTGCGTGGTCTCTGCTCACTGCCCTCAGGTTCTGCTCTCATTCAGGGCAGCCCGGGCAGCCGCCTTCCTGACCCCTCACAGCAGACCTGGGTCTTCAGTTCCTCTCCTTTTCCTGCCTTCTTCCCTCTGTAGTCCTTACCAACACCCCACTTCCTCTCTAGCTGGCCTTGCTGGTGTGTTTGCCTCTCACTAAGAAAGAGCTCCATGAGCCCAGGCTCCTGTCTGCTCTGTGATGGAGCCCAGGGTCAGGCACAGCCCCAGATACCTGTGGATGAATGAGCGAGGGCTCCCAATACCTGATACCCCAATAGTGTTTTTCTTCGGAGAGTCACCCTGCACTTGTTGTAAACATCAGTTCTGACAATGCTGTGCCCTGCCAGGTGTGGTGACCCCGGCCTATAATCCCAACACCTGGTGGCTGAAGCAGGAATTCAAAGCCAGTCTAAACTACATTGGGAGACTCTGTCTGAAAAAATAAAATTGCCTAATATTGACTAAATCACATGAGAGAAAAGTGGAGCTTTCGTCCTCCTGTTTTAGTTCCCATCCCCTGAGGAATTCTATTCCTCTGTAATTCCCTCCCCTCAGGCTCCACACAGAAACCTCCGTCCACTCAGAGTGTTGTCCTCCAAGTGGCCTCATCAGTCGCTATGTGTTCATCCTCCCCTGTCTACCCCAGGGACTGTCCCCTCTCACCTGCAAGCAGGAGGCCCTGCCAGGGAACAAGGCCTCTGTGGGAAGTGGCTGAGCGGGGCTCCATGGTCTCTGCTGCCTGCCCTGTCCTCCCTCCGTGGACAGCTGCTGCTCCAGAAAGGCTGCCCTGCAGGACTGCTCAGCAGCTCAGCTCTGCTGTCTTTTCTCTCTATGAGCCTCCTCCCAGCCCTGGGCACACCTCCATCACCTGACCTGGGTGGAGTCTGTCTAGGGAGCCTCCTCTCTCCTACCCTGGGCCCTGCCTTCCCTGGGTCTTCCTCTGCTCTTTATTGTTTTGCTATCCCTGACCACACTTTGAGGACAAGGCTGTTGGGGCCTCTGTCACCTAAGAGAAGGACAGGCTCAACCCCTCACTGTCCTGGCCTCGGGGCTGTCCCCATCCCATGGAGATCTTGGGGTTCCCAAATCCAGGAATCACCAGGGGTTTTTGCCATAGTAACTTAGCTGGGCACCCAGTGTTTCCCAAGTTCTTCTGTGCTCTGGGAAGGTACAATTCACTCCAGGGGAAAGGTGACAGAGATGACTGTAGGGTATAGAGAGGGACTGACTGAATGATGACTGGTGAAGGGACTTGCCCTGTATCTCTGGCATCACCAGTGGGGTCTGTGATCTGATGTCCCAGTAGGAGCTAGTGATATACTAGTGGGCAGGATGGATATTACCCCACGTCCTTGGGAGGAAGGAGTATGTTGGTTAGGTGAGTGGCTTTGGGCAACACTGTCGTTGGAGGGAAATTTTACAGGACAGCCCTTGTGTCTACATGTCTCTCCTGAGGTGTGACCATGTTCCCCCATTGAATTGCTTGGCCTCTGTCCTCTGCCCTGCTGAGACCTAAGTTTACCTTTCTGTTAAGTTAAAGGTGATGCCAGTAAGGAGTGTACAAAGCAGAACAGAGTGCTGGGAAGAAGTGGGTGGGACAGGAGGGCATGCGGGAAGGACTGAGAGGGCTCTGCTGTGGGCAGTGATTGAAATCGGGCAGCATGTGCCCAAAGCCTAAACTAAATTCACTTTGGAGGCGCTACTTTGTTCAGTGTGGACTGTGTAGTCTGATGTCGCCCTCTACTGGTGAGGTGGAGACATACAGCCAGTGTCATGTGCTGCTTGAGGGATACATTGTAGTCGGTTTTCCAAGAGGAAAGGGTGAATGTCTAATTCCATTTTTATGTATAAAATTCATAGATTACTCTGGTTCTTATTTTTGTTAACATCTATAAATAGACTGAATGATTTATCAAATTCTGAGGTCATGCTATGATTTCTGGTCTGGAACTTCTGGTGTCACCTGATCACAGTCCCCATCAGGCTGCAGGGCATCAGTGAATCTCAGCCAGGATGGCCTTTGCCCTGCAGGGACATTCGCAGTGTCTAGAGATATTGTAGATTGTCACACTTGTGGAGGGAGTGCTACTGGCACCTTTTGTGGAGAATTCTCAGATGTTGCAGGAGAGGACGCAGGTGTCCCCACAAGGATGACCAAACCCGGAAGTGAGTGGAAAAACAGACCTGCTCTGCTGCCTATACTGGAGTCTCCTGTCTCCCTGCTCCTTGCCACACCCCCAATCACCCACCTCCCTCTTCTGCACCTTCATTTGCCTCCTCTACCCCTGCACTTAGTGCAAGGTCAGCTTCACCTTTCCCCTCCCCTGGACCCCTTGTGCCTCTGGAAGGAGCCGTCCACTAGAGGGCGCAATGCTCTTCCCTGAGCCTCTGGGACCCCGCCCTGCCCACAGCAAAGGCAGCTGCCCAGCCCTGGTCCTCTGAAGCCTTCAGAGCAAAGCCCCAGGGCCAGGCCCAGGGACCTAGGGAGTGCACCTCACTGTGGCAGGGATGTCTCTCAGCTCAGCGGTTGGACACCAGGACCCAGAAGTCCCAGGGTGACCACTGGGGATGATAGCTGTGAGCCGCTGTCCCTAAGGCTCTCTCACTAGCACTGGTGTCTGGCCCTGGGCAGGCCTGATGCAGCCTCTCCAGGACCAGACCTTCGGCAGGTGCTCCCAGGCCCGGGACCTGCAGGCACCCGGAAGGATCAGGAGCCATATGGCTGTCCTGGGGCAGCTTTTCATGGCAGCCAGGTAATGCCAGTCTCAGGAAATGAATTCACTGGATGTGAACTGGGCTTTCGCTCAGGAGGTGGAATGCAGCCTGATTTCCACGCTTTTCCTGGCCAAGCCTGCTGTCTCCCTCTTACGCCCTGCCTACCCACTGCTGCATGTCTGAGCTCTCTGGTCTCAGAGGGGTCTTTATGCTGCCTGCTTCCTCTTGCTTTCACCCATGAGTGCAACCCAGGAGCTGGGTGACCCTAGAAGAGCTAACGGCAGAGGCAGAGGCCATGCAGGGAGGACAAAGGCAGCCTTGAGCCACAGTTCAGTCAAGGCACGTGGAAAGCAAAGTGGCCCTGGAAAGTTACACCAAAGCCCCATGACCTCCCACCACCTCAATCCTGCCCTGTGTGCACATCCCTGGACCTGAAGGGTCTACATTGGCAGTGCAATGAGGATTTGAATAGGAATGACCTGTTTGTCTTTTTAATTCATGGAGAAGTAGAACATTTCACAACAAAATAGAATATTAACAATAATTAATTCATGACATGTTACTTTCTTTAAAGTTGTTACTCAGAGTACAAGATGTGGCCATAAAAAGTTCTCCACTTGAGTTTAGCACACACCTTCGTTTTCAGTGAGCTAAGAGACGCTGCTAAGGTAACCTGCATCTTTTCCTTTTCCAGTCATTTCTTCCCTCTTCCTCCATCCTAGTGCCCTTTCTCTGTAGGAGGCACTTCCAGGTCCTTGCCTCGATCGAAGCAGCCAATATTAGTAATCCCAAAGTTACATTATTATAATCCCACCAAGTTCATTCCAATCTATCACAATGCGACCCACAGCAAAAATAAAGACACTGAGTTATATTTTCAATCATTGAAGAGTCTGGGACTCTAAGTCCAGCCACAAAGATGGCTTTCCAGAACAAAAAGAGAGTGACCCAGGGCCTCATCCAGTTTTTATTCAGTACAGGAGTGGCTGAGAATTGTAGGAAGTAGGTGACTACTGTGAGCTGAGCTAGGTGGGTGCCTACATTTACCTCTGACATATGCAGAAAGGATATGCAGTGAGAGTAATCTGCATTATGCTATTATGCCATTGAGATAGTATCCAATGTTTTGGGGGGTCTAGTGCTTCAGCTTTGATGTAGTCTTTCAAACCCCAGGATGTCATGGCCTCTATCTCCAGGCTCGATTCCAGCTGGCGGTGCAGAGCATTAGCTCTTCGTCTTGTCTCAACCCAGCTCACATTAAAGAGCAGCAGGTATAGGTTACCAGGGAAACATGCATGCCACCTTCAAAGACTATCACCAGCACCTAGACCAATACACATTGCTTAAGGCCAATTGGAGGATAAACAGAAGTCCTAGCCAGCTCTGTACAAAACAATATGAGGAAACAGGGTCAGGCTCAGTCAAAATGGAGATAGTCGCTCTTCTTTCAAGGACAGCTGCTCAGGTGATCCTCCACATTCTCTTTTCAACATTCTTCCCATTTTATAATATCTATTGTACATTTTAATCCTTGTTTGCTATTTCAGTATTTTCACATCAGAGAGACAGCATGATGCTTACACCTGTGTTGTATGTTTCGGGTCGGTGCCGAAAGAAACGACAAGAAGACCTGATGAATGTAGCTTCAGAGGTCTCACTGAGATTAGTCTCTCTCCAAGTGAGCCCAGAGCCTCAGAAGCATCTCACTTTTATTGAGGGGTAAAGGCAACTGAGGAATGTGCATAATTACCTAAGTGAATACAAACTACTATATTGACTTCCACCATTTGCCTAACACTAGGTTCACACAAAAGCTAGCCCATAACATCCCAAGCAAGGGATCAAAGGACAGAGCGCCTGCAGGAGAAGCTGTTATCTGCTGCTTTGGGTCCCAGCTTTCTGGGAATTTGCAAACAGACAGCAACCCTCCTCGGACTCAGTCCACTGTTCCCTACTCTCTTGGGACATCAGGCTTTTGTCTTAAAACTATGTTGGACATTTTCATATCTACTGTGAGTCTGATTTATTTCCCTAATGAGCTTGGTCTCAAGTTGCATCCATTTACCTACCAAAGTATAAAATTTGTCCTTCCTTATGACTCAGTACTCCATTGTATAAAAAGGCCTCATATTTGTGACCATTTTGGACACTTGGATTGTTTCCAAGATTCAAAGTCAGCTGCTACAAACACGCGTACACACATGACATGGTGGTGCCACGTTTTTCATTTTTCTGGGAAGACAGTGAGACAGGGAATAACTGAGTCAGCTGGGGCCTCCAATCCTAGCTTTTTGAGGCTTCTGTACCCTGATTTCCAAAGTGCTTGTATCAGTCTACTCTCCCACCAACAGTGCAGAAGTGTCCCTCTTTCCCCACAGTCCCTCCAACTTTGTTATTGTTTGACTTCCTGAGGATAGCCATTTTTTCTGGGGTGAGATGGAATCTCAGTGTTGTTTTCATTTGCATCTCTCAAGTGATCAATGATGTTGGACATTTTCATATCTACTTGGCTCTTGTATTCATTTATCTGAGAAGTGCATATTCATTTCAGATGTGCATTTTTATTAGGTTTTTCAATTTCAGGAGGATCTGACTTTTTCAATTTTTTTATACACATAAAGAACTGTAGATATAGAGAAATTCATATGTATAAAAACGTTCTAGATAGAAGCCTTTCGTCTGAGGGAAAATTAGGTAAAATTTCTTCCTACTTTGTGAGTTGTCTTTTCACTCTGTTGGTGATATATTTTGATGTGCAAAATTTTATCAGTAAGAGGAGATCCCAGTTGTTGATTCTCATGCAGGTGGTTTTGTTCATAAAATCTCTGCCTACCTCTATGTCCTCAAAATTCCTACCTCAGGCTGATGAGATAGCTCAGCAGGCTAAAGCTTAGGTAAGCACAGGGACTGGGGTTAGATCCCTGGAAACAGAAGCATGCTGGTGCAACCCCTAAGCATGCTGAGCAAGCCCCTGAGTCTGGCCATGGCAGCACATGCCTGTAATTCCAGTAGTGAGGAGGCTGAAAATAGAAGGATCACTATGAGTCAGATCTGTGTAA